AGCCCAAAACTTGGGCAACATGATAATATGGTGTTAGGAGTCGTTTGGTGAGTTTTGAGTGAAATCCGATCGCTAGAAGTATAGAATACAGCAACCACTCCAATTTGGAATGAACTGCCGTTGAACTTGAATTGTCGAATTTCTCACACCTATTGATTTCAGGTCGAGCCCAAAACTTGGGCAACATCATAATATGGTGGTAGGAGTCAAGTGGTGAGTTTTGAGTGAAATCCAATCGCTAGAAGTATGGAATACAACAACCACTTTAATTTGGAACGAACTGCCGTTGAACTTGAATTGTCCAATTTCTTACACCTATTGATTTCGGATCGAGCCCAAAACTTGGGCATCATCATAATATGGTGGTAGGAGTCATGTGGGGACTTTTTGAGTGAAATCCAATCGCTAGAAGTATGGAATACACCAACCACTCCAATTAGGAACGAACTGCCGTTGAACTTGAATTGTCCAATTTCTCACACCTATTGATTTCGGATCGAGCCCAAAACTTGGGCATCATCATAATATGGTGGTAGGAGTCATGTGGGGACTTTTTGAGTGAAATCCAATCGCTAGAAGTATGGAATACACCAACCACTCCAATTAGGAACGAACTGCCGTTGAACTTGAATTGTCCAATTTCTCACACCTATTGATTTCGGATCGAGCCCAAAACTTGGGCATCATCATAATATGGTGGTAGGAGTCATGTGGGGACTTTTTGAGTGAAATCCAATCGCTAGAAGTATGGAATACACCAACCACTCCAATTAGGAACGAACTGCCGTTGAACTTGAATTGTCCAATTTCTCACACCTATTGATTTCGGATCGAGCCCAAAACTTGGGCATCATCATAATATGGTGGTAGGAGTCATGTGGGGACTTTTTGAGTGAAATCCAATCGCTAGAAGTATGGAATACACCAACCACTCCAATTAGGAACGAACTGCCGTTGAACTTGAATTGTCCAATTTCTCACACCTATTGATTTCGGATCGAGCCCAAAACTTGGGCATCATCATAATATGGTGGTAGGAGTCATGTGGGGACTTTTTGAGTGAAATCCAATCGCTAGAAGTATGGAATACACCAACCACTCCAATTAGGAACGAACTGCCGTTGAACTTGAATTGTCCAATTTCTCACACCTATTGATTTCGGATCGAGCCCAAAACTTGGGCATCATCATAATATGGTGGTAGGAGTCATGTGGGGACTTTTTGAGTGAAATCCAATCGCTAGAAGTATGGAATACACCAACCACTCCAATTAGGAACGAACTGCCGTTGAACTTGAATTGTCCAATTTCTCACACCTATTGATTTCGGATCGAGCCCAAAACTTGGGTAACATCATAATATGGTGGGAGGAGTCATTTGGTGTGTTTTGAGTGAAATCCAATCGCCAGAAATATGAATTACCCCAACAACTCCAATTTGGAACGAACTGCCAT